ATTCAAACCCGCCACCTTGGGTGTATGTGGCTGGCGCCTTAGCCGCTTGAGCCACAGGCGCTGAGCCAATTTTCCTGTTGTTAATAGAGATGGGGTCTCACTCTTGCTGACACTGGTCTTGAAATCTTGATCTCAAGCAATCTTCCTGCTTCAGCCTCCCAGAGTTCTAGGATTACTGGTGTGAATCATCACAACTGGCTGAAGGTGAGGGTCACTGAAGGGGTATCCTAGAAGTTGCCTTCTCTCCTCTCCATGCTTTTGTTTTTTCACTTTTTTTTTTTTTTTTTTTTGATACAGAGTCTCAAGCTGTCGCCCTCAGTAGGGCATCACAGCTCATAGCAACCTCAAACTATTGGGCTTAAGTGATTCTCTTGCCTCAGCCTCCCAAGTTGCTGGGACTCCTGCCACAATGCCCAGCTATTTTTTGATTGTAGTTGCCATTGTTGTTTAGCAGGCCCTGGCCAGGCTTGAAACCCCCAGCCTTGGTGTAGGTGGCTGGTGCGCTACTCACTGAGGTACGGGCACCGAACCTTGTTTTCTCACTTTAAAATACAGAAGCTGGGGCCAGCTGCAGTGTCTCATACCTGTAATCCCAGCACTCTGGGAGGCAAAGGTAGGAGGAACTCTTGAGCTCAGGAGTTTCAGACTAGTCTAAGTAAGAGTAAGACCCCATTTCTACTAAAAATAGAAAAACTTAGCCAGGCATGGAGGCTGAGGCCAGAGGATTGTTTGAGCCAAAGAGTTTGAGGCTGCACTGAGCTATGATGATGCCACTGCACTCTAGGCTAGACAATAGAGTGAAACTCTGTCTTAAAGAAAAAATATGCAGAAGCTGATGTGGTGGCACACACACCTGTAGTCTTAGCACTTGGACAGGCTGAGGCAGGAGAGTCTCTTGAACCCACAAGTTAAGAGTCTAGTCTGAGCAATGTCGAAAGATCCTTATTTTAACCAACCAACCAACCAACCAACCAATAACAAAGCACCTCACAGTGTGCCTGGAAGTCTCATCCATTCGTTTGCTCATTCATGCAACAAATAAATACTGAGTGCCTATATTATTGTCAAGCTATTCTAGGCATGTGGTGAACAAGACAGAAAAGATTCCTTTACTCATGAATCTAACATTCCAGTAGGGAGGGAAGGGACACAGAAAAGGCACATGTATATACATTGACAAGATGATTTGAATTAGGTGCTAATCAGTAAAACAACATCACTGGGTGATGACTGGGTACTAATTTAGAGTAATCAGGGAAGGCTGCTTAGGGGAGGTGCCATTTGAATTGAAACCTGCAAGATGAGAGGAGTGGCCAGTTATACACTTATCGTGGGAAAGAGGTTTTAAGGAACAGAAAGTGCAAAGGTACTGAGGTTGAATTGAACTTGATCTGATTGAGGTCAAAAAGGAGGTCCATAAAGTTTTGTCTTTTTTTTCTTTTTTGACACGGAGCCTCAAGCTATCCCCCTGGGTAGAGTGCCATGGCATCAC